TAGGAGTTTGAAGTAGATGACTTCCCAAGTCTTTTTCAACTTTAATTCTCTGTTGGTTTGGCCAGTTCAGTGCCATCACACAGAATAAGCTGGCAAGGAGAACTGGTTTTAGGACGTAGGGTAGAGAGATCAGTAAAGAACAAGTTGATTTTGGTCACGTTTGATATGAATTGTCAACAGATACCCAAATGAAAAAGTCCAATGATGTTCTTGATCTTCAAAGAAAAGATAAACCATAAGTGTACTATTGCCATAAAAAGCTCTTCCAGTATGATGTCATAAATGCCATTGTCTCACTGTACCTATGATGGTATGTATAGCTCACAGTACTCTTCTAACACAATGTCAGATTGTATTATTGAAAATACTATATCCTTGAGATAAGCAACAATCTTGTTTTAGAAGACAATTGAATATTACTCTCATTATTCTTTGTCAGAACTTTTACTAGAGAAAGGATGGTATCTCTAAGGCTGTGACAGAACTATATTATCAAATAGTAACATTACTGTAACACTACTATTTGATAATATAGTATCTGAAAAATCTAAATCTGCCAAATAATGATCAGGCAGTCACTGAATGTCCCCTGAATATTGACACTAGGGGCAAGGGCCACTAAAAGAAAGATCAAGGAAAGATTTTGCCCAGATAGTCCTTTTCTAGTAGGACTACACAGGTGACCCTGGACTCCTGGGAATAAGCAGTCAGGTTGCCACGTGGCAAAGGCAACCTTGGAAGCAGATGGCCTGGGTTTTAACCACAAACTCACTGCTTACCAATGGTACACACCACCTTCGGGTAGTTGCAAAACCACTCATTTCTTCCTCCATGAAATGGTAAGACTAATCTTTCCCGTGTCGTGTTGTTGGATAAGTTATGTGGGGTGTGTGAAAAGACTCTAGAACAATAACAGTGAGGACTTCTGATTTAGTCTCAAGCTTTCCCAACCTTAGTTGCTTTTAGGAAAACTGCTCAGATACAGAAGAAATTTACTAATTCATTCAGTGAAATACACACAAATACTGTGTGTGGCTCCCTGGTGAAGGGAGAGTGGGGCTGAATTCCAGCCCATTAGTGCTCCTTGAACTGGGAGTCCTGTTTTTCTAATGGGCACAAAGGGTGCTACATGTGTTTTTAAAGACCTGTGTGTGTTTCAGAAATGACAAATGTGGCTTTTTCCACATGGAGCTTGTGTCTGATGGAGAAACAGACAAATAACCAAGAATGAACAGTGCACATAATTAATGCTATTCTAGAGAAGGCACTATAACAACACCAAAGAGACATTTAAATCAGACAAGTTGGAGGGCCCAAGATTTGTGACTTAGAGGATGAAGGAGAGATTGCAGGAAGGTATATTCTAGGTAGAAGAGTGACATTCATTTATTCATTTATTCAGTCATGTTAATTAAATAGCTACTAAATACCATGTACTGCTCCAGTACTGGAGATACAGTAGTGAATACAACAGGATCTCTTTTCTCATAATTCTAACTGAACTGAAAAATCTTAGACAGTGAGAGGTACTTTGGGAGAATAAAATAGGCAGGGTGGTGGTGTTGGGGAGGGGTGAAGATGCTACTTTAGGATGGAGAGTGGGAAGTCCTCTTCAGAGAGGTGTCATTTAAGCTGAGAGCTGAATGGCAACAGTGGGAAGCTCAAGATGATCATATGAGGCGGAGAGAGGAGCTGTTGCAAAGTCTTAAGCAGGGAATGAATTTTGTGTTTTTGAGTTGGCAAAAAAAGACTCACGTGGCTTAAGCGCAGTGGTCAGAAGAGGAGCAGGAGATGAGATGTGGAGGCAGGCAGGTTCCAAACCTGTGTGAGGCCCAGAAGCTTGAGCCTGGTGAGCTTGGAGACCTGCTAGGAGTTCAATGTGGCTGAAGGGAAGAGGCTGTTTCATTTGATTTGGGAGATTTAGGCAGGAACTAGATTCTAACAAAGTCTTACGGAAGATCTGGGAGATAGTTAATTCTGCTTAATGTTATGCAGAAATTCCAAGGAGCCATGACTAAAGTCATTCAAAGAAAATCCTTCATGTGTATGCCTTCAAGGAAGATTTGAATATATGTTACATGTTCTTTTTGCTTTGTTTTGCAGTACTGAGGATCAAATCCAGGGCTTTGTCAATTCTAGGCAAGCATTCTGCCACTAAGCTGTATCTAGCCCTATATGTGCTACATGTTCTTGAATCAAAGTCCCTAACACACAGATCCCATGACAGCTTAGAATTCTCAGGTATGCCCCAAATTCTGATTAATATAACATTTATTTTTACAATATTTGCGTGTACTTACTATGATAGTAATGTCTATTGGATGGAATGTTAAAGTAAGTTGTGTTTTATAGGAGAATATATCTTATGCCTAAGAGGTAGTACATAATGTCAAGTTGGTAACAGATGTGTCATTTACTTATTGCAGCATGGGAGAACTTTGCCTCACAGAATATGAAGCAGACATTGCTAATCATACCTCATATTCATAAATTCCCCTTCCTTTTTATCAACAGAACCTAAGATTTTATTGTCAATGAACTCAACTAAAAATACTTGTCTTCTAACCTTTTTTGTAGCTAGAGGTCATCATATGACACCATTTTGGCCAATGAGATGTAGACAGAAGTCCCTGGGAAGGGTGTTCTTTCCTGAATGAAAAGGCAAAGTCTGGCTAGGAGAAAGCTCTTTTGTCCTGTTCCCCCTCGTACTTCTCCACTCTTCCTAGTGTTTGTAATTATTTGTCGACTCAATGTTTGGAGTCATGTAATGTAACACTTATGTATCATGAAGAATACAGAAATGATGAAACAGATTTTATTTTGAGGGGGCTAAAAATTTCATGAGATGACAGATGTGTTCATAAATTAATGTAAAACAAGTATATATGTGATGTGGTGGGCTATGAATAAGTCTGCCCAACAAAACCTCTTAAATTGACATGAATGGATACAGAAAAAACAAAAACAAAATTTAACAAAAACAAAAGAAACCCCCAACTGCCTCAAATACAGGCAAAGCACAATTTTCAAGGATTACATTAGGCCTGAGTAATGGGCATCACATTTATGTTAACATAAATTGTTTTGTGTTGATGAAGAGCGTGGGGTCATAAGAAAGGAATCAAGCTACAGCTCTATGTTCCTCCAACTTGGAAACATCTCACTCCGTGTGAGAATGTCAGATCGCCTGTACAAGGTACGAGGGAATCGGTGGAAGCTGTGTCCTTGTCTGGCATATGTGCTCTGTGGAGTTTACTGGCTTACAGGAGCAGGCAAAGTAAAAGCAACCTTGCAATGTTGCCTTTGAATAGTGTCTTTAGGTAGATGTGTGGGGATGTAGTGAGCCATCAGAGCATCACAAAGCATGTTAATGAGTTGTGAGGAGGAAGTCAAGGAGTCTGGCTGAAGGCTTCTTAAAGGTGGCAGCATTTGAGCTAGATCTTAAAAGATGGATAAAATTCTTGAGGTGAAGATGGGAGGAAGAGAATTACAAGAACATGAAACAATTGTGAATGAACTGACAGCTGCTAAAGCGAGACAGCAGAGCTGTGTACTGGAAATAAAGAGTAGTCTAGTTTAGCTGAAGAACTAGACATGTATGGGAAGCAGTGAAAGATGAGATGGGAGAGGGAGTCAGGGCCAGGATAAGAGGGGTGGCATTTAATGTATCAGTAGAGAGAACCATGAATTCTTTTGAGACAACTCTTTGAGTAGGTGGGTCAGTCAAATAGGGGATACGTGAGAAAATTTCACAGCATCTTTGGGCATGAAACATGGGCTGGGAGCTTGGGCATGAACTGAGACCGTGTGTAATTGGAGAACAGGATATAGATTGAAGAGTTTTATTTTAAAATTAATTGCTTTGAGGGACACTTAAGAAAGGAAGCATGTATGTATTTGAGTTTTGGAATTTGAACATATAGAAGGGTAATAACAGTAAAGTGAACACAAAGGGAAGATAGGAAAACAGTGTTTGTTTTACAGACAGTGGAAGTGTGCTACAGGCAGTTTACAATAAGAGCATGGAGCTCAAGTGAGAGGTGGAGTAGTGAATGAGTCACCTCTATGGATGTGAGTCAGTGAGTTTGGTCTATCACATGCATAGTACACGAACCTAATAACAGACCCTAAATACAGGACAAGTGTTGTAACAAGGAAGACAAAGATGTAGAAGCACATTGAGAAAACAAAATCCACTGCGATTATTGATATTTATAGCTTCTTGGGTTTTTTGTTTTTGTTTTTGTTTTTTTTTTACCAGCTGTTAAGTTCTTAGAAACTCTTTTCCCGAATTGACTGGTAGGTCAAATTGGCAGGTAGAGTTGTCAAGGACATACTTTTGCATAGAAACCCTAAGCCACTGAATCTCCATATGCTTCTAGTCTAGAATATGAGATTCACGAATGACACAACTAAAGTTAGGAGCAAGCACATCGCTATGAACCACAGTTCTATTATAGGTACTGATTGCTAAGCGAATTGAACAACTAAAATCATAGAAAAGTTCCCAAGGAGGGGAATGGTTGTACTTGGCAGAGGCCTCAGAGAAACAGAGGAAAGGTTAGATTGAACACAAGCCGCCACAAGACGAGCACGAGTGATTACGCAGCTCCCAGTTGGAAGCCGCCTGTGGTCTTCAGGCATACCGGCCACAAGACTCATCAGCTTGACTGCCACAGTCAATGGCAAGGCGGGAGCGGGGCGGGGCCACGACGCGGGAAGAAAGCGGGTCGGGAAGAGCTGGCAGAGACCCCGCCCTCTACCCGACTACATTTCCCAAAGCTCCGTGCCGCCTGAAAGGTTCGTGGTCTGGACACCGAGCAGAGATTTGCAGCATGGGATTGGGAGTCAAGGTCCAGGCACCGCCCCAATGGACGCTGGTGGAGAGATCTGTAGGGATTGGCTCGCGAGCACTTGAGTCCCGCCCACATATGGTGACGTCAAGCACCCGTAGGATACTTAAGGCGTCGTGGTGTCGCCAGCCCCGCCTTAGCTCCCGCGCTAGAGAGAAACATGTATCGTTTCCGATCACAGCTCTTCACGGGGAATTCTGCTGCCGCCACCGCCCACTCGTACCCCCGCCGCTTCTCGCCCCTGTTGTTAGCCGAAGACTCGCCTCTCAGCCGCCCGCCGCACAGACATACGAGTAGAAAGTGCAGCTCCATCGGCTGATCCTCGTTGAGCTCGGAGTTTGGGCGGCACCGGGCGTCCCACGATGCCGAAGAATAAGAAGCGGAACACTCCCCACCGCGGTGGCAGTGGTGGCGGCGGCGGCTCAGGGGCAGCCGCGGCGACGGCGGCGACGGCAGGTAAGGGGTATCCCCGCGCCGTCATTCCAGTGGCCGGCCCGGCTCGCCATCCTCGGGCGCGGCGGGAGTTGTAGTTCAGTCTCTGGTTCGGACGTTTGCGTCTCCGTGGTGCGTGCGTGACTGAACTACATTTCCCGTCGTGCCCAGGGCGCCGTACTCGCGCGATTTGGGTTTGGCACGCGAGCCGGACTCGGACACCGGCCGTGGGGGCGGGGAGGAGTGGGTCCTTGGGCCTCCGCGTGTGTCGTGATGGGGGTGACCCCCAGGGGGCGGGCGAATTTGGAGCTGTCCCCAGAGGCTGCTGCTAGCCTTCCCGAACTGTCCCCTATGAAGGGCGGGGCAGAGCTCGAGTGGCGCCCTGCTGTCACTGGCCGCCTGTGACTCTGGCGCCAACATGGAGTTCTCGGGAGTGCCAAACGTCCGGCGGGTTGGGACCAGCCCTAGCGTCACGCGGCCTGGGCCTCGCGCGAGGGGCCGGGGTGACGCACAGGCGCGCGAGTGGCTTCCATCCGGCTGCCTCCTTGCGCGTCCCGCGTGTTCACCTGGTCGGCGGAGGCATCAGAGGCTGGGGTCAGCTCGCCACCCTAAGCTCGGCTCCTAACCCTGACACCTGCAGAATCCCCACGCACCAAACTCCAGTGCTCGCAACCCAGGCGAACTGCTGCTCGCCGGGGCAGAGACCGCGCTCTTCATGCTGCAGTCTATACCTTCTCTGCAGTGCGTCCCGTTGGAACAGGTGTGACGAGCTCAGGTTGCAGTTGGCTCGAACTTTAGGGTTTTGTGTCCTTTCTGCAAAGTAGAAGCGTTTCCTGAATGGCTAGGTGCTTAATTAACTGTGTTGGTCCTCTACTTCCTAACGATGCGGTGAAGAAAAAAAGGTTTCCTGACTGCAAAACTCTTGTGTAGGAGACGCCACACTGAACTCAAATCGAGTAGTGTTACTCTCTGTTGAGATTATGGACTTTTGAATATTGGTAAGTCATTATCACATCAAACTATTAGCCAGAAGGTATTTGTTGACACCGTTGCCATTGTGTCTTCGGAATGATAAGCCTTTTTTCATTAGAAAAGTAAAGGTACTAGTTACCGTGTTAAAGATTATTGGAAACTGGCATTTAGAAAGCTTTTCTGTAGGATTTAGGCAGCCCGAAAACTTGGGACCATGTATGAGACGTTTATAATCGACAATGAGAATGGATTATTTATTATAAATAAAAATTTTCCTTTTTCTTTAGATAGCTCTTTATTGGATGCTGTTTGGGTTTGTGAAATTTATTCTTTATCTGTGAACTATGTAGTTTGTGGCATCTAGTTGCTCTGGTCGAATTGAGGATTCTGCTTACCTCTGCACCTTTTCCGGAATCTGAATAAACATTTGAATTCTTTCTAGAAGAGCCTTATTTTATTCTTTGAGTTTACCTTTTGTTAATGAAATGCAAGTAACGGAGAAGCAGCAAGCTAAAGGCATTGTGTTAATAGTGGTCTAAATCATAAACCTCAATTCCAGCAGCCTCCTCCCTCCCCAAGCCTCTTTATTTCCTTGTTACAGTGCTGTGGAGGAATTGCCTTTCACATTTCGTTTCAGGGCTCATTCGTGACCTAGTATCCAGCCTATCACTGCTGCCTTGTTAATTATTTTTAGTAGAAAAGATACATTTAAACGCTGTATTTTAACACATTCAGTACAAGCATTTAAATATTGATTTTTAGTGTATGTAAACAAATGGAAAGTAATTCTTTGATAAGCTTATAAAACTCCATGCTTGACCATTTTTGGAAGATTACATTAGAACTTGTCAACTGGTTGCTTCTTGTAAGTGGAACCGGGGAAAGGCATGGGGGTGAGATTGGCGTTTTTAGTAACTAACTTGGTTTATGTGTTTCACATATTCAATTAAAAAATGACTAAATACTAAGTAGAAGGGATGGAAAATTGTCAAACTTTTACTTACAAACTTCTTAACCTTATCGATATTTTTAATGACATCTAGAACAAAGCCGATTTAAATGAGGTCCCCGCTGTATGACGGGGGTAACCAACTTCTGTGTATCACTTTCATGGATTTTTCCACTTAGACTTATTTTTTAAGTTGGGGAGTTCTAGGAAGCTAAGAAAATTGACCTCTTACACAAGTGTGTATTCCTCTGTCATAGTACTTACTGTAATTTAAGGACAGCGTTTTTAAGAAAGAAAAAAATCTTGATAGTAAGCCTTCTAGAAATGAGGACTGGATGTGTCTTAGAGTGCCATCTCATCAATGATACTTAAGTATCACAAGGTGAGTGTGACCTAGATAGCAGGCACTCATACAAGGTTAATTTCCTGGATTTTAAAAAACTTTTCCTTGTCATGGAAAGAAATCACTGAAACTGATTAGTTAAGAGAGGGGAGCTGAGTAAGAGCTGCATAGGAATAGAAATAGGCTGAACATAAAAAATACAAATGTAAATTGAATTGTGAGTAATGCAGTAGAATTAATCTAATAATGATACTAAACTACTGCTCTAACTTTTAGTCATGAAGAGAATGTAAGACAAATCCATAATAGTGTAGGTGATAGGTATTTGTTTATTTCCTTTATTACTTACTCTTTGTACCATACTACTTTGATTGGCACTGCTTTGGTATTGAGCAAGCAGATTTGAAGGCCACTATGTTAATTTAAAAATCTGCTAAGTTCATTCTCTCTTTTGGTGGCACTGGGGTTTGAACTCAGGGCCTCACACTTGATATGCAGGTGCTCTACTACTTGAGCTGTTCTACTAGCCCTGTTGCATGGGGCTAGCTTAGCACCATGATCTTCTTTATTTCTGCCTCCTGAGTAGCTAGGATTATAGGCATGAGCCACTGGAGCCCTGCTCAGTTCTCTGTTTTTGATTTTAAAAAAAGGGACAACCTGTTCTATTTAAAAGAAAAATAACCCAATTATAACAGACTTAAGGTAGTATAAATATTGTGACTTGAATATAAGGAGCTAATGATATTTGGTGTAATCTTTGATTTTACTGGTACAAGGAAATTGAGCTCAGACGTAAATCAGGTGACTCAAGGTCACTTTAGGGGCAGAGTTTGGGACGCATTTTAACTCAGTGCTCAAGGTAATTCATGACTGGGTAATTTTTTATTAGCATGAAATCCTGAAGTTACAACTTTATTCCTGAAGTTAATGATTGAGAAAAATATTGTAGTTTTTAAAAGAGATTTTTTTTTAAAATAACCACTACTATATTTATAACTCTTGGCTGTGTTAAAACCTTTCTTTTAATAAGTAATTTATCTTAATAGGTTTTTATACATATCAAATAACAAAACTTCAATTTTAAGCCTTTTTTTTTTTTTTTGGTATTGGGGATTGAATTCAGGCCTTGAGCTTGCTGAGCAAGCACTACACTAGAGCCATCCCCAAGTGTTTTGCTTTTTTGTTAGTTTTTTACAGGGTCTCACACTTTTGCCCAGGCCTGAACCAGACCATGATCCTCCTACCTCTGCCTCCTGAGTTGCTGGGATTATAGGTGTTTACCACTGTGCTTGATCCCAGCTTTTTTTCTTTTCTCAATTTATCTTTAAACGTCCCTCTTTCAACTCCTTTTCCCTTTAACAAGACATGTAACCTAAAAACCCATTCAACAGTTAATGTTTACTGAATCTAGTCATTCTCATTAGAAAATATTTGTGTCATTTGGATCTGTGACCATAGTACTCTTTCTAGATTTATTTTTATTTTGTTCATGATTTGTAATGGTTTGGAAGTAATTTTTTCATCTTTTAGATCATACTGACGCCTCTTGTTAGATGATTAATCTATTTCTGAAGTTGATTTATATTGTAAATAGTTGGTGCTCTTATATACAGGTTAGGTAAATTGATTTATTTTAAGAATATTTAAGTAGGTCCTTTTGTGATATAATGTTTTTTAAGAATTAGGTTTATTTTTATTACTGGATTTCTCTTAAATAAACTTTAAAATTCCCAAGTGAAGTATTTGTACATATAAGCTGGGTATGGTGGTACACACCTGTAATCCCAGCTATTTGGGAGGTGGAAGCAGTTCATGGTCAGCTCTGGCAGTTATTGAGATCCTATCTCAAAAACAAAATACAAAATGGGAGAAAGGGGGGTGTGGCTCAGTTGTTAAGAGTGCTTGCATAGCATGCTTTAGGTTTGTGAGTTCAGTGTCACAGCCTAAAGCAGTTTTATTCAAAACAAAGCAAAAGAACGTCTTTCTCTTTTATTTACTAGGTGGTCAGCATCGAAATGTTCAACCTTTTAGTGATGAAGATGCATCTATTGAAACAATGAGCCATTGCAGTGGTTTCAGTGATCCTTCCAGCTTTGCTGAAGATGGTATGAGTTCTAAAATTGCAACTTTAGATGAAGATTTCTTTATAGCTAAGGTATACTCTTACTTTCCCCTATGTGCTTTTTCCTCTTTAAATTACAGTGGTGGTTTATATTATTCTGTAGGACCGGAAGTCCTTGATGAGGAAGGAACTCAAGAAGACTTAGAGTATAAATTGAAGGGATTAATTGACCTAACCCTGGATAAGAGGTAGGAAACACTAATTCCTTTCCTTTTTGGGTTATTCTAATCAGTTATCTTACTGCATAATGCTTGTAGGTCTCTGATACAAGAATGTTTTTCTCAAGCTTTGAGTTTTTTACTTTGATTTAATGTTTCTTGTTCCTTTTGCCTTTTTAGTGGGGGTAGTGACATGCCACTAGTTATAGAGTTATAGATTGATTTGGACTGGTTATGCTTCTAGCATAATAGCACATATGTAAATGTGTTTGATTATAAATGAAATAGATTTTTTAATGAAAAGCTAATCTTCAGCTAGAAATGACAACTAAACCTTGCTTTAAGCTGCCTGTTCACTAATTTTCTCATGGACATGAAAATTATCAAAGCTGAATTGTTTTCTTCATAGTAACTTAGAACTGACTTAAGCAGATGAAAATAAAAAGAAGCCTAAAAGATGCAAACATGAATTCTAGCCTTGTAGTCTTAAGAAATATGAATTTAGCCAGGCACAGTGGCACGTGCTTGTAGCCACAGTTACTTTGGGAGGCAGAGGTGGGAGGATCACTTGAACTCAGGAATTCAAGACTAGCCTCTGCAATGTAACAAAATGAAACTAAACTAAGCAAAAACTGTAAATTTGTCTAAACGTGTAATAGAAGAACATGTCTTTTACATTGAAACTGTAAAACATGGTCATTTAAAGATGTGGTTATCAAACTAGTAAATGAGCTGGGCATGGTGGCTGGCACACACATATAATCCCAGCACTCAAGAGGCAGAGGTAAGAGAATCATGAATTCGAGGCCAACATGACCTACATAGGTGAGTACCACACCAGCCTGGACTACATAGGGAAGCCTGGTCTTAAAAACTAGCTAATAAAGAAAGCTGCTAAAGCAGCTTAAGCAATTTTTATGTATTGAGGTAAATTGTAGATGAGAATTATATTACTGAAAAAATTTTAGAAGCTTGATGACAGTTTAAAAGATCTGTAAGTCATTGACTGATTATATACCCCATAAATCTTCTTTCTCATACATTTTGTTTTAACTAGCGCGAAGACAAGGCAGGCAGCTCTGGAAGGCATTAAAAATGCACTGGCTTCAAAAATGCTTTATGAATTTATTCTGGAAAGAAGAATGACTTTAACTGATAGCATTGAACGCTGTCTGAAAAAAGGTAAAAACCTTTATTTTTAAGTCACTGGCACGGAACTAACAGAATTTCCTGTCTCTGTGCAATAACATTTGTTACTAACACTAGTAACTTAGCTAGTTCTTTAGTTAGAATACTTGCTCTGTGGTCGGCAAGGCATATATATACAGTGCTTGATGTTTATAATTCAGAATGAGATTTGTTGGAAACTGTTTTTATGTACTGAGAATTGAAACTAGGAAGGATTCCTTGTTTTATCAGAAGAGGTATTGCTTTTCTTTGGTTATATAAGAGTGGCTTGAAAGTTTGTGTCAGAGGGTAGTATAAAGTGTTTCAAAAGACATCTTACAGGGCTGGGGGAGTGGCTAAAGTGGTAGAGTGGCTGTCTAGCAAGCCTAGCAAGCATGATATCCTGAGTTTCAAGCCCTAGTACCACCAAAAACAAGAGCCATCTTACTATTTCATTTTCTAAACCTGAAAATGTATCATAATCTTCCAGCTCATTTTCCCTCCCACTTGTTTAAAACACCACTTTTCCTATAGATGATATAATTTTCATAATATCCCTTGGAATATTTGAATTCTGGAACTTTATAGTAGAAATTCTGGAATTCATATTGTTGGATAATAGAACTTTTAACTAAAGTTTAAAAGTCCTTTTAAGACTAAAAGTCTAAAAATTAAGTCTAGAAGATTTGCATTTGCCAGTTTACTTATTTTTTCAAGTAAGAACATTATGCAAATAATTAATTTCTATCATTATCATTTGATTAACAAAATAATTCTTATACCAAAAATATAGGAGGTATATGTTTCTTCTAATCCAATGAACTTTATATCCGTATTCTCACTCTGCCTCAGGGTGAAAGCTTTGTTATAGATGAAACCCTTGATCAAATCCACCCTCTCATTGTACAGAATAAGGAAAGCCTAGGAAGAGTGAGATGGCTGCTTATATAACTTTAGTATAGGTGAAAGCAAAGCCAATTTTTTGAGCTAACACATGGCTTTTTAAAGTATTTTACATTGAAACAGCATCCATAACAGTGATTGACTAGGTGACTTAAAAAATTCTATTCCAGTCTGCATATTTTATAGATTTTTAATTTAACAGATAATAATTTCAGTAGTTGCTCAAACTCTTCAGTGCATAATGGTCGTAAAAAAAAAATCTACATTTAAAGACTTTTATTTTTAATTCCTCATTTAGTTTTAAAAGATTTAGAAAGAAACCCTGAAGGGTTGCCTAATGGGCCATGTACTTCTGAAATGCTTAGAAGATTAATGCAAGGGCTATTTGGACACGTTCATGAGTACCTTAAGGAATTAGAAGGAAGAAATGGACATGAAATATGTTATTTTATTGAACCAATTCAGCATGCTTTTAAGATGGGTACTGATCTCTATTTTACAGATGAGTAAAACTGTTTAGGAAATTATGAAGATTTTTTTTTGGGTAGTAAGAGGCAGGTCTAGGATTTAAATGAGGTCTGTCTATTTCTAAAGTTTAAGTACTTTAGCCTCACCCTTTCTAACCATGTCAAAGCCTGCAGCATAATTAAGTTTTCATAAATGATAGGTGCTATTTTGTAATGGAAAAGATTGTGGAATTACTATCTTAAGTCTACTGAAAATCAATTGTCATAGTTATATCTTGGCTTCTTTTTTTAGGAAAGAGTGATGAGCAACGTGTGGCTGCATCATTAGCATGTGTTCTTTGTATTCAGTTGGGCCCTGGAATTGAAAGTGAAGAGATTTTAAAAACTCTTGGTCCAATCCTAAAGAAAATCATTTGTGATGGGACAGCTAGTATCCAGACTAGGCAAACTGTAAGTATAAGATTTTAAAATTGGCAGGTCTACCTAGACATGATGCCCAGATAGAAATAATAGTATACTTTATTAATATTTTATTCTCATTTGTCTCTTAAATTTAGTGAACAGACTTAATGGCCACTATTTTCTTAAATTTCTCATACTCTAAAAGGTATCCTACACTGTACACATTTCTTTATCTTTAGAATTAAAGAGTCCATCATATACAGATGTTAAATACTGAGTTATTTAGGGGGATTGTAGAATAATTTTGTTTAGAACTTAAATGGTTTAGATAACTAATGTTTATTGGTGGATATTTTTTATTAATAGAAATACAAGGGTTTTTTGGTTTTTTTTTTTTTTTTTGCTATTCTGAAAAGCTATATTTGGGTAGATGTAGGAACCGCTGGCTGTGAAATACTCATCCATTTTGGAGTTTGAAGAAGCTTCCATTCTCTGATTGCTTGGTATTTGTTTATATATTAAGCCAATATATTTGCTTATATATAAGATATAAATATATAAACAAAACCCAACACGAAAAAGGGCTCAGGTGGTAGAGTACTGCCTAGCAAGCATGAGGCCAAGTTCAAACCCCCATACTGCTCTACCCCCAACCTCAAAAAAATAGTTTGTTATTTAAATTGAGTAAGGTTTCTGTTCTTATTTGGAAACTAACTGGCTTAAGACTTTTTCATGGTAGAAGCTTCATTAAAATCAATGAATATAAATGGTTTTAAAAAGTTAAAAATCAGTAGCAATCTTAATGTGTTTTAAAGGTTTTTAACTGAGAGATTGACTCTCTTTTATCACAAATGCTCATGTTTCATATCCAACAGTTGACGTTTGAAATACTCTGCTAGGCAGTTGTACTGCATACAAAAAGGAGACAATGAGGGGATAGTTTGTTCACCCTTCAAAATACTTTGCTTAATATAGAATAAGAAAATAATGTAGAAATTTAATCATAGACTATAAAGCTAGAATGGATTAAGAAATCATGACATTCATTTGCACACACTTTTATGAATTAAAGCAGGAGACCCTGGAGGAATGGAATCACTTTGCTCAAGTTTTGTTAAGTTTGGTGATGCACCTTGAGCTGAGACTCAACTTTTTTACTTGTGGTCCAGTATTCTTTCTCTCCCACCCTCCATATGCTGTGCTAATATGAAGTAGTTAAGAAAATTTTTACATTAATGGCTGTGTATTTCCTGTTTTTTTTCTAGTGTGCAACTTGCTTTGGTGTTTGCTCTTTTATTGCCACAGATGATATTACTGTAAGTAGAAATCTTGAACTCCAGTTATGTGCAATTATTTTTAATCTAAGATGGTTATGTTACTTTATATTCTTATCTATTAGGAGCTATATTCAACTCTGGAGTGTTTGGAAAATATCTTCACCAAATCCTATCTCAAAGAGAAAGACTCTAATGTTATTTGCAGCACCCCTAATACAATGCTTCATATCAGCTCGCTTCTCGCATGGACATTATTATTGACCATATGCCCAATCAGTGAAGTGAAGAAAAAGCTGGAAAAGTATGTATTTTTAGTTTCATGTTTTATAAAAACATTTAGTTGATGTAACTGGTTGCATTCACATATTAATGACTTAACTATTTCCTAGGCATTTTCATAAACTTCCAAGCCTCCTTTCTTGTGATGATGTAAACATGAGAATAGCTGCTGGTGAATCTTTGGCACTTCTTTTTGAATTGGCCAGAGGAATGGAAAGTGTAAGTATCTAATTGGCAGAGAAGGAATCTTGTGCCATAAGGAGCGTTATTCCATTGTTACCGACACAATTGAGGATTGGATAGTAAGTGTGGAGGATGGCCAATCACCTTGGTGATTGATTGCCCTGCTTTTGGTGCTGGTGATACAATACTTTTGAAAGTATAAACTGATAGAAGTTGATACTTGATTGTAGTTCATTATACTTAACTTTTGCTATCTATAAGATTGAAGTTTAGGGATGGTGCACTATTGATGAAGAGAGTTGTGTGTCTTACATAGAACTGCTTGAATTTCTCAGATACCTACCACATTAAGGTAATTCAACACATTCAAGATGATTATAATAAATATCAGACAAATGGATGGAATATTAAGTCAACATAGGTTTGGGATGAGATGAGTTCAGTCATTTGTTAATACTGCCTTTTAGAGTGGTACATATGCTTTTCATTTCTCTATGGGTGTATACTCATGGATGTATGTTAGTTACCATGGCTTGGCTCTTGAAGATATTTGAGTTTGGGACAGTTTGACCAGCTGCCTCAATTTTCTTGACACTGTTTCAGGTTTAGCACTGAAAAGTCCTGTGTTCCAAGAAATCCTGTCTCGGGCAAACTGGGACACTTGATAATCCTAGTTTGTGATCCCTATTCTAAGAATTGCTGAAAGAAGGAAATGCCTCAGACTTAACCACTGAAAAGACGAGATTGTTCTAGGTCTGTTATTCAAGTGATGTGCTGTTACTTAAAATTGAGGAGCAGCTTTTTTGCCTGCTCAGAATCCACAGATATTATCATGATAACAATAAATACTGTAAAGGAGCCAGTAAGGAAACCCATGTATGTGACACATGGGTAACAAACACATTATTTCTAACTTTGAGTGATGTGATACTTTTTAATCTAGGGAGAAAGTCAATATTTTCAGAATAAACTTTGTCTGCAATTAAAGAAGTTACATAACAGTGAATACTTCCAAGTAGTTTTAATGCAGTGTTCTAGGTTGCTTGCCATATTTAGTTCTTTGTATTCCATTCTAGGCTTGTATCTTTAAAATGTTTAAGCTCTTTTAATCTACATGTGTGAGGTATCTGTCTATAACCACGCCCCTCCTTACATTTTTTTGGGGGGGAGGGTAGCAGGTAGGAGTGGAAAGTAAGTTAATGCTGTCAGTAGCTAATGATTCTCCTTATGTGAGGATTTGGACTCTGATTTAGCAGTTGATTTAATTTTATTAAATTAGCTAACGGCTCCTTAACTTCAAGGCACAGAAAACAGATGTTCCAATTTTTAATCTTGCTTTCCTCTACTGGCTGGAAATGATACTTTCCTTCCCTTGACATGCATCTTAAAAGCAAAGCAATAATCCAATTTAATTATACATGTAAAAATTTGTTTTAACTTTGTGAATGTAACATATTAACACCCATGTATCTTTTGTTTTCTGACTTAATATAAGAGAGCCAGGAGAAATCATTCAAACATACTTAATATGACTTAAATCTTTGTTGAAGGACAAAAATGAATTAGGTTATAAACAGAACTTGGTCTGCTCATTTTCCTTTAAGTAAATAAGTTTTTTTTTTTTTTTTTTTAATGTGTGTAGAGGTAGTGGTAGGGCTACTCATAGGGGTTTAAAAGTTAATTAAACCAAGGCTGGGTGTGTGACTTAGTGGTAGAGCATTTGCCTCATATCTGCAAGGCCTAGGGTTCCATCCCAAGCATTAAACTCTTTTGTGAGAGCTCTTCTCATCTGTATGTGCTTGCCATATATCCAGATAGGTAAGAGTGGACTCTAGAGCTATGCTGCCTAGGTTTACTTCACTCTTCCACTTTCACTGGTTGGATGATGTTGGGCAACTTCTCTATGCCTCAGTGTTCTTTTCTTTAAAACAAAAATGGTGGTACATACCTCATAGCGTTGTTGAGAATATAATGGGTTCAGTGTAAATAGTAGCATTACTATAAATGTTGATTGAATTGAGTATTGACTTCTTCCCCTTCCAGCAGGCGTCTACCTGTGGCCTTTTAGGAACTCCTGGGTAACTTAAAATAAAAAGGCTATAGGTGGGCAGAATTGCAGATCATGAGGCACATTATGTGATCCAAGCAAGATAGAAGGAAAATAAATCAATATGTAGTATGTCCCTGTTTTTCTATTCCATCCCCCACCTGACCTGAAAGGGGAAATGCTACAATATGGAAAGAGAAAACAATAATCCAAAGATAAACAGCATGCTCTTTGGAGCTAAATCGAATATACTTACATATTATACTTTAGAAGGAGCAACTTAACATTCTTTTTACCTTTGTTTCCAGGATAACTGTAAAATGTCTCCATACTTTTGACAAAGGTGTTCTGCTTTGATTAGCAGGTATTGAAAGAAATAAGTCTTTTGAAGTAGAGTCAGATAAAATCATTCTAGAGATAATAGTTTAACACTGGGCAGTGAATTGGAGAGGGTTCAAATTCTCTTTTAATGTTAGACTTCATATGATTTCTCTTTTTTCCTCTTTTTTGTGGTCCTAGGGATTAAACGAGGGTCTGACACATGGTATATAGGTGTTATACTACTGAATTACAACTCTAGGCCATAATCTTTATTTCTTGACACTTAGAATAGCTATCCAAGACCCAGTTTCATTTTGTTTGCAATCACTGCTAGAGAGATTTACATATAAATAACTAGTTTGAGGAAGAATTTTGTGGCTGTAAGCATTTCTCCATATCTAAACTCTTCCAGAAGTTTTCTGCAGTTTCATCTCATGCTAATTCCTCTTAATTTTTGAAATCATTCACTTATGGAGTTGTTAATTTGGTATGAAATAATTACTTAAACTGACTGGTTTGTCTTATTTATTTTGTGTTAGATTGAACAGAGTATAATCAGAAAAGTTTGAGCAATTAGGATTAATTGATGTTTATGTACTCTTTCATATATTTTTAATATTTCATTTAATCATCATAGTATACCTTTGACATATGGATGGTATTAATTGTTTCTATTTACCTAAAAGGTACCTGAGGCATGATTATTAATATAATTGTTCCCAAGGTTATATAGATCCAAGTGGTGGATGCTTGTGATTCAAACTTAGGTGCCAAACCCACATTTTATATATGACATTAAACTGCCTTATTTATCTAGGAGTAATTTGTGCCATAGATTTTAAAAATGTAACTTGTGTGTGTGTATATATATATATATTATATAAACCTGTAATGCTTACATAACAGTTCATGCTTCAGAATTTATGTGGCAGTTTTTATTTATTATCTTATTTAACCCTTAAAATTGTTGTGTGAATGATAAAAGAGATTCATGATTCTTAAAACTGAGTGTAGTGGGTAGTACACCTGAAATTCTAACCCAGGACTTTTGCTCCTGTTGTATAATAGTGACTGTGCTATTTTCTTTTCATAATAATAAGAGTTAAGATGTATCTCTGGGAGCCCATTTTTTAATTTGTCCCAGAGTGTACAGTTTATTATATAATTATCCTAAATTCTAATAAATAGGCTTTTGGAGCTACATTTTGTTATATTTTCTTTTCTTTGTTTTTAAAACTAGACCCATGCACAAGCACTTTATGGAGACTTGTTCCTAAAACATTAGACATTTCCCTCCCCAAGTTTTAGTACTTTTTATTGAACTCAATGATTCATTAGCTGTAAACTACATTTAAATGTTTTCCATTGCTGAGATCATATTGGTGTTTCTTACCTCAGCACTGTTGATATCTAGGACTGGACAATTTTTGTGGTTGGGTCTGAGGTCTAGCTGTCTCCTGCACTGTAGGATGTTTAGCAGCATCCCTGGCCTCTACCCACTAGATACTAGCAACATCTTTCTCCTAGTTGTGACAACCAAAAATGTCTCCAGATATAGCCATATGTCCCTTTGGAGGTAAGATAGCTCCAAGTGAGAATCACTGGCAGTGGTTCTCTGTTCTTATAACCACTTGCTTAGGCCAGGCACCAGTGTTTCACACCTGTAATCCTAGCTACTTTGGAGGGCTGAGATTGGGAGGATTGTAGTTAGAGGCCATCCCAGGCAAATACTTCTCTAAAATACCAGGGTAAATGGACTGGAGGTGTGACTCAAGTGGTATAGCGCCTGCTTTGCAAGCACAAAGTTTAAATCCCAGTTCCACCACAAAAAAAAAAAAAAAAAAAGAGAGAGAAAAGAAAAAGAACTGCTTGTTATATAGATTTAAAAATCTTTCCTGCATCTTAAAAAAAAATAAAATAAAAAGAACAAGTAGCCAGTAAAACAAGTAGGAAACTGCAAATCTTGAAATACTGCACTTGTTTTTTATGTTCTTAGAATGCAGTCAAATTTGTTGGAATTTATAAATGTAAAGATCATTTATAATTTTAATACTTACATTTCATCTTTAGTAGGTGTTGTCTCTAACTCAGACATAGGTTGGATTGGAACTTTTTTAAGGGAGGTACTGGGATTTAAATTCAGGACCTCCTGTTCACTAGGCATGCACTGTACAATTTGAGCTATTCCCCCAACCCTAAATTGGAACCTTTGAGTAAAAGCACTTACTAAAGTAGTTAATATACAGTGTGAAGTATTAACAACAATAAGACAAAATTATGGTCTTTTTTGTTTGTTTTGGTGGTAATGGTGTTCGAACTCAGGGCTGTACCACTTGAGCCACATTCCTAGCCTTTTTTGCTTTAGTTTTCAAATAGGGTCTCACTTTTATGTTTGGTCTGGCTTGGACCTCGTTCCTCTTGTTCTCACCTCCTGTGTAGCTGGGATGACGGGCCTGTACCACTATGTCCAGCTTTCTACTGGTTGATACAGAATCTCGCCTAGAACTGAGATCCTCCAGATCCTGCCTCCCTACATGTGTGAGCCACTGTGCCCTGTAAATAAGCATACTGAATATATTTCAAACTTATTTTCAACCAGTAGTATAACCTTTTTAATTCTAGAAAGTAAAAAAAAAAAGTCACTTAATGCTCTTTTGAGATTAGATAATTGTATATACAATTTGAGGAAAGTCTAGAATAAGAACTGCTTAAAGAAGTATCTGTTCTGCTTTTGGTTAAGTAAGTTTGAATTATCTTTTAGTTTTTAATATGGTGTAAAATGGAGTTAGGGAGTAAAAACATTCCCCTGAAAAGAGATTACCTAAATGTATTGCCACATTAACAAGGAAAAGCTTACCAACTCAAAGTCAGCAAACAGTAATACATTTTATAGTTTCCCCATCCAAAAAGACTAAAGTATCTTCTTGTCTTAAATAATCTAATCACTGAATTATATCACCTGATATAAATGTTTTACTGCTTATTTGAAATAAGGACAGGCAACTAGAAACTACATTCTTTAAAAAGCATTACTGATAGCTTGTAATATAGAAATAGCTTATTCTTTGGAATAAGAATAATTGGATTTCTGGGAATGAGTGGTTTGGGACTGAGTAACCAAAGAGTAGAAGCTGTATTGGTTTGGTATATGTGTAGCCATCTCTCGTTGAACTTTTTGAAACCTCAGTAATGGATACAGTGGGAGCATAGTAAGTATTTGTTAGATGCACCTGGATACACTTGGAAGGGGAATGGTAATTGTTTTTGCAATAGTACACAATCTTGTCAGCATTTTTTCATGTTAATAGAAATTTGTGTATGTGTGCCCGAATGTTTATAAACTGGATATTTTTCAGAGCTATGCTGTTTGGTGACTATATTGTAAAAGAAACAACTAGTAACAAATGAAATTAATTGCTTTTCTTGGTCAGGACTTTTTTTATGAAGACATGGAGTCTTTGACCCAGATGCTTAGGGCTCTGGCTACAGATGGAAATAAGCACCGGGCCAAAGTGGACAAGAGAAAGCAGCGGTCAGTTTTCAGAGACGTCCTCAGGGCCGTGGAGGTAGGCCACTTAAATGCTGTAATAGCTACATGTTTTGAAATTGAATTGTTTCATGCCGAACTTGATATTGATAGTTGGATCATTTCGTTGATCGAATGTCATCTTCAGTCAATGCATTTCACTTTCCTCATTTTAAGACCAGCACAGGGTTTTAAACAGTGTGAGGAATTCTTTTTTTTTTTCTTTTTTTTAGATATGACATATAAAGGCATTTTATTTTTAGGTTTAAAACAAAGTAGGGCTGAGGATATTGGCTCAGTGGCAAAGCACTTGCCTAGCATATGAGAGGTGGGCCCTGGGTTCACCACCACTGAAGATTTTTTTAAAAAGAACAAAAAAATAAAAATCATAAGACCTATAGTGACAGAAACCTGTTTTCCCTTGTACTTGACATCATTCAAGTAATGATGCTTCACATATACATACTTAATATAGTGCTTTTTGTGAATGCATTTATCTTAGTTTCCAACACGACTTTACCTTTAAGCAAAAAAAAAAAAAAAAAAATCACTGTGATCTCTAGAAAGTGCTAAAAAAACAAAATAACAAAACCCAGATCTTACCAAAGCCAAATAAGATCAGTATGTGATGCTTGAATGTCTTTTGTAGTCTTCTAAGCTGCTGTAATCTGTACAGCAAATAAATTGATACAGAAAGCTGAGATTAGAATGCTTGGTTAAAATGATCCCTAACTAACCACGGGCACTCTAACGGTGATTTTGTTTGGCGAGATAACAACTATTTCTTGGATTTAAAGGGTAAATTTCTCAGATTACTGCTATTTAGTAAAGCAGTTCTTTTGAGAAGAAATAAATCTTCAAAGACTCTTTCAGCCTGAGGAGTATATCGAAATTTAGAATGAAAATTTAAACTAGATGCTAATATCCCACCCCAAATCCAAATTTAATATCTTCTTGAGATTTCTTATATATATCTTTCTTCATTTTAATCAAATTTTAAGAAAGGAAAACATAGGTTATAAATTAGATCCCTTAGAATAGAAATAGTTTGATCAATGGAGACTGTAATTGCATTCCAATAATTATATTTGCTCTGGATTTTATAATCGAGAAATCACCAAAATCCCTAACTCGAGTAGACACCTATTTTTTTTTTTTTTTTGGTGGTTCTGAAATTTGAACTCTTCGTATTTGCTAGTCAGGCACTCTACCATTTAAGCCAACTTCCAGCCTTGTAGACACCAATATTAAGTATTGAAATTAGTTGTATGATTAGTGTGGCAGTATTCCTAAATTAAACAAGCTGTTATATTGAGTAACTATAAGCTATTTTTAAATTTAGTGAGGTTTTGTTTTTTGATACTATAGCCTCCAAAGATTAGATAATAACATGTCCTAGATTTTCCAAATGAGACCGGATTCAGATTTTCTTTCTTACTCCATCCCCTTGTAATAGATAATAAGAGGTCAACAGGACCTAACAGAGCCTATTTCTAGGTCCCTTAGCCAAGGCTAGACATAGCACTTAGCACCAGTTATGCTAAGGAAGACACATGTGGAAATCTCAGTGTTCCCCAGCATCGACAGGCCAGGCCTCTTGTTTCTGGCAGCCATTCTTATGGTATAGTGTTCTACCCTCCCAGTCTTCGCCTACCCTCTGCTCTTCATCTCAGAATTCAAGTATCCCCCCTGCCCTTCTGTTAAGCTCTTTGTTCCTACAGCCTCTACTTCATTGCATCTGCCAACAAAGTCTTCTCTTCAGAGCCTCCATCTTTGTTCTATCCCCTTTTCACTGGAACCTAGCTTTCACTGAAGGACCCTTCTTCCCTGGTGGGTCTTTTTTTCTTTTTGGTGAGTTTGAACTCAGAGCCTTATGTCTGCTAGGCAGGTACTCTACCATTTGAGTCATTCCATCAGCCCTTTTTTGTATTGGATATTTTTAAGATAGGGTGTTGCTTTTTTCCGCCCCCTGGTCTGTGATCTCTGCCTCCCATGTAGCTAGGATTACAAGCGTAAGCTACTGGTTCCCAGCCCCTGTTGGGTCTTTTAAATGAAGGCTGCTCAATTGCCCTAGAGGAAAATTACACATCTTAAATGTGATAGTGGCTGCCACACCATTTCTGTTTATCCAAAATCTTTCTTGATGCTCATGTATCCCTTAAATCCACAAATAATTACTATATAGATGCTTTGCCATATGTTTTTTTTTTTCAATTTTTTTTGGTGGCACTAGAGTTTGAACTCATGGCCTCAGGCTTGTTAGGCAAGTGCTCTTACTACTTGAGTCACTCCACCAGCTTTCCATATGTTTTTTTTGTTCTATCATAACTCTTACAGTAGAATCATCTCCTGAAATGTTAAGGAAAACTGGAGACCGCAGGAATAGTTTAAAGAAAATAAGTAGCAAAGCTGAAGTTTCTTTTTTTTTGGTGGTACTGGGGTTTAAACTCAGCCTTGTGCTTGCTAGGCAGGTGCTTGACCACTTTTTGCTTTGCTTATTTTTGGGATAGGGTCTGGCATTTTTGCGTGGACTGGCCTGCACTGCAGTCCGCCTACTTGTGCTTCCTGTAGCATACATCACCATGCCCAGCTTTTTTTGGTTGAGAATGGGGTCTTGCAAACTTTTTGCTTTGGCTGGCCTCAAACTTTGATCCCCCCAAGTAGCTGGGATAACAGATATGAGCCACTGCACTGGCCACAAAGCTGAAGTTAAATTCCACTGTCCTGTGTTCTCAGCAAGGGCAAATCCTGCAGATAGGTCAGGTGAGAAAGAGTGAAAAGTTTCAGATCTGTCAGGTAGGTAATTGTTCCATTAAGAGCAGCTTTGCTGGAGTGGCAAGAGAAGCCAAATTGAACTGGATTGGAAAGTGACTCAGTGATTGGAATGACTAAGTAGAGATGGTGTGTTGCCACTGTTCTTTTAAAAGGCATGGCTGTCATTGGAAGGGGAATAAGAGTTGGTAGTTGGAATGTGTGCTAGAATATAGGAGGGTTTGTGGTTTTCTGTTGTTTTGTTTTAGATGCTAGAGACAGGGTGGGAACAGGAACCAGTGGAAAAGGAACATCTGAAAGTAAGTGAGATTTGGAATTCACCTTGAATTAGGGAGTGGAGGGGGCCTGGTACTTTCTGGAAGTAGGGAGGAATTGGTAAGGATGAGTTTATAGAGAGTGGGTGGGAAATAGAATTCTTCTTGGTACCTTCATATTTCCTAAAATAAAAAGGGCTGAGACGATAGAACATTACTACTTTTTTGAGCTGCTGTTAAAACACCAGGTGGTCACTGTGTGTGCCTCATAGACATGCTTTCTCTTATATCTCTTATAGCTTCCATGGTATTCATTTTACAGGCCAAGAAACAAACTTAGAGATTAAGTTATGTGCTGAAATCACAAGTCAGCGAGTGACACACCCATGTGTGAGTCTAGAGTTCATGTTCTTTTCTACTACATTGTATACTGTGTCTACTGAGAGATAGAGCAGTGCTCATGGGCAGGCGGTTGGAGTGATCTTGCCCCTTCAAGTTCTGTTACCACCTTTCTCTTGTCCCTGTGACAACAGCAGACCTGATTATTCTTAGATATTCACCATTCTTAAGCATCCGGTTTTCTTCTTACGAAGTTTTTCTACCATTCTGGGTAACTTCTTTATCTGATAGGAAAACCCTATCTCGCATTTGTTCCAGTGACATATTTTTTGAGATACATTCCCATAATTATATCTTAGAAATGGTTTTCTGACAGAATTGTTCCATTGCTTAAATCTTAAACTGAGATTCTGCCTTTTCTTTTCTTAGTCAACCTAGCTGAGGTTTCCTGGAGCCCCAAGGTCTTCTGTGTGATGTATTAACCCTGTTCATCTTTACTCCTTCCTTTGGTCCCTGCTGCTCATCAGTTTCCCCCTTGCACCATTTTGTCTTTCTGACTCTTCTGCAACCTTCTTCCATTTTTTCCATCCGACACCAATATGAACACCTGTTCTTTTTTTCAAGTTTCCTGAGTATTTTTGAAATTTTAAAATGTTGACAACAGTGTGGTTTTGTCATTAATACTTCTTTAAACTTTGTGTGTCTTCAAGTCTATACAATTAGGAAAATATTGCACCCCCTACTCGTAGGATAGCAGTTTTCAGTCTTTTCACTTCTCAGGTATGGAAGGATGTATCAATTTAAAATATTGTTCATTTATTTCAGCATATATCTGTTTACAAATCATTTATTGGGTCATTTTAGTGCCTATGATAATTTTGTCTCTTCAATTGGTTAGGAACGGGATTTTTCAACAGAAACTGTTAAATTTGGTCCTGAGCGAATGTATATTGATAGCTGGGTCAAAAAACACACCTATGACACCTTTAAGGAAGTTCTTGGATCAGGGATGCAGTACCACTTGCAGGTAATTCAGTGACATCCTTTTTTGTATGTTTGCTTTTCAGTTAAGGAGCTATCATGAATGTAAGTCACTTAATTGGCTTTTAAAGTTAGCTGAATATCCAGATGCAGGGAATTTATTTTGGAATGAAAATTGAATAAATTCGAAACTTTCTTTTTGCTGAGACGTTACTGATTTGTATGAAAGCAAATAGCTTCATATAGATTTCTTCAGTTCAAATTGGAAGACAATTTGCTTTCAGACTTAGAAACAGAAAACAAATGACCTAATAAGTTCTGTTAATCATATTCATGCTATTTAGTTTTGAGCCTATCTTACCACCTTTTTCTTTCACATAAGTCAAATGAATTTCTTCGCAACGTATTTGAACTTGGACCCCCAGTGATGCTTGACGCTGCAACACTTAAAACAATGAAGATTTCTCGTTTTGAAAGGGTAGGTTTTGTTTTTGTTTTTAAGAAAATTAAATGTAGTAAAGATAAAAATGGAACCAAAGCTTTAATTCTGCCCAGTGATAGAAACATGACTGTCTCTATTGATACATAGTTTTAGTTTTTCCTGTCTTACAGAATAGCTACAATAAAGGTGTAGAAGCTTTGTTACATTTAGAATGTAGGGGTTTTCAGCTGGGCATGATGGTACATGCCTGTATTCCCAACTACCTGGGAGGTAGAGACAGAAGAATTGGGAGTCAGGTCAGCCCCTGGCCAGGTTAGCAAGACTTTATCCTAACTGACAGGGTGGGGGGGTGGGGGGAGTTGCTTAAGAGGTAGAGCACCTGACCAGCATATGTAAGACCCTGGGTTCAGTCCCTGGTACTGAACAAAAAGAACATAAAGGACTTAATGTTTTTTTAAAAAATTTTGTTTGCAAAAATTCTTATTTTTGTTTTTATTATTGAGATGAGATTTACATAAAACAGACTTACTTACTAAAGTATACAGTTGAGTTGTATTTATTACACACATGTTGTACAACTGTAACCTGTATCTAGTTCCAAAACATTTTCATCACCTCAAAAGAAAATTCTGTCCATAAGCAAGTCATCCCCTTCTGCCCCAACCCTCAGCCGCGTAAGCGCTGATTACCTCTTCTGGGTTTGCCTGTCTTGGAGAGGTGTTTCACATACATGGAATTGTACATGTGGCCTTTGTGTCTGGCTTTTTCCACTTAGCATAATGTCAGAGTTCATCCACATTGTAGCATGTGTCAGAACTCTATTGCTTTTTTGTAACTGAAAAATACCAGTTGCTTTGGGCTTTTCCAGCCTTTGTCCATTGTGAGCAGTCTGCAGTGAACACTCACAACACAGACTTTTGTTTGAAGGCCTCTTTTCAGGGACATGACTGTGCCTGCTGGTGGAGTGCTGGGTCATGTGGGAATGGGAACGCTGCACGGAGCTGCTGCAGCGTTTTGCATTTGCACCAGCAGTGCTCATACATACTTAACTGGTACTTTTAAGGAATGAGCCCAGGGCCTTGGAATGTTGCCTGCCACTTCAGCTCCCTGCCACTTCAGCTAGCCCCAGCCCACATTGATGATTTCTTACTATGAAGTAGACATTAACTGTTAATTTTCCCTTCATCCTTTGTGTCTGTGTGCCTGTTACAAACATTTAAAATATTTCTTGGGTCAATTTAGTTCATTTCTTTGCTTTGTGAGTTTTACTTTTTTTTCCCCCTGTTTTATATCTTAAGTCTTACTGATCTATATGTATTTTTCATTTCAGCATTTATATAACTCTGCAGCTTTCAAAGCTAGAACAAAAGCTCGAAGCAAATGCCGAGATAAGAGAGCAGATGTTGGAGAATTCTTCTAGATTTTCAGTATTTGACGACTATTTTCTAATTTCTTTCTTCGTATTATTTTTTCTATTTCTAATGTATATAAGCTTTAGAGACAGTTTTTACCTTGGGATCAGCTTAGGTAATTTTTATAGTGGGTTGGGTTATAATTTAATGTACAGTATTACAAATGATGAGTTCTAATTATTGAATATTCTGTAAATCATAAACATGAATAAAGTGTTTGTAATGTTTGGTCTTACTTTATTTATGTAGAGCACAAAATGGTGGTGTTTCACTTTCTGTTACAATAAGAAAACCTGCTAGCCAAGGTTTAATTTCTTGCTCTCTGGCTGTCACAGATACTCACCAATTATGTTATACAAACAAGATATTTAATTTCTTAAACATGAGTTCTAGGTAAAATTTTGGGTGCTAGTTCTTCTGGAAAGGCTGCCATATTTTAAATTTTAAAATTTTTGTCATTGAGATCAACAAAAGGAATTAATACCATGAGACGTTACAGATGTACTTAAAGGCCATTCTGTTCAGCTGTTGGGTGTTCATAGTGAATTTGCCCGTGCAAGAAAGGTTGCTGACCTTAACCTTTGAGTGCAGGAACATCATTATCTGCCATATGAGACCTTGTGCTTTTCGCTTTGAAATAAAGGTCTTTTTCACATGGAAAGAGCTTTGTGTTTAATAGAAGAAACATTATTTATGGTGTTGAGATCAGAGTTCAAAATAACTCAATCCAGATAGGGAGTGAGACAAAAGCTTTGTATATTTGAAACATCAAAATAGATGAAGATGAGACAAAGTTTTATTGGAAAACATTAACATGAAAAAACTGTAGCACTATATAATTAGGGTTTAAGTTACTGACTTGTAAGAGTATTACTGTTGATTGCTCTCTGGGTATTTTTATTTTATGAAAAGTAAACATTTTGAAAATGCATTTAAAATAATTATTAAGCCCAAGTTTAAGTTGTGCACCTCAGACAGTGTATCCAGTTTAGATTCCATAGACTTGTTTCTTTGGTATTCTGGCTGTGGAAAGTTGTAGGGGATGAGAAACTCCTTCACTGTGAGAGAAGCGCTAAGATCATTTCAGATGGTTTTTCCAAAGTAACACTCCTGCTCTCCCACTTCCTGAGCAAAAACCGGAAAGTCCCATGAACCTGCAGATGAGATTCATTGCCTGACTTGTGGACTCCCTATCACTGAATTCCATTCCTCAGATGCAGCTCAGTAGAAATATTGGAATCTAGCACTTGGGTTTGTGTGGCGGTGTCACCTTATATTCTTAGAGAAGGCTTGAACCATGAAACCAGATGATAATACTTTTCTAAAATTTCACTTTTGCATGTGAATACATGTCTTTAAGAATGAGCTTTTATTAATGTGAGATGCACAGTTTAACTGTACTTAAAGGCTTTAAGGAAAAGTGCTTGCTGTTCCATCTTTTCCTGTGCTCAGTCCCATTCCACCAGGCATTCCGCCTTGAGTTTTTTCTAGCAGCATGGTGCCATGTTTCTACATTTTATGCTTTGGAGCTAGAGGTGTGGCTGAAGCAATGGAGGGCCTGCCTAGCAAGTACAAGGCCCTGAGTTCAGACCTCACCAAAAAAACCCATAGCAGCCTGGTTAAATTTTATGCTTTTAACAGCTATTTTTTGTAGTTTATTGTTTGTAGTTATTTAAAAACTTACTGTTACAGGTGAAGGTTTTTCCACCTTTCTGTTCTTTGTATATACTTAAGTCAGCATCATTGTTTATCTCCCTGGGATATTTATTTGTTGCTGAGTTAGTTTACTGTGCTTACATTCATGTTCTCATATAGCATTTTGTCCTGGAGTTAATACCTTTTTAGTACTGTCTTTTTTTTTTTTTTTAAAACACTGTAAGCACATCACCAATTTTCCAAACAGTCCCAAATAAATTTGTAAAACTTCTTGGTTCTCCATTTGTTAAACTTCTTGGTTCTCCATTTGTTTCACTGCAGACTAATTCCTCTCATCCGAGCGCACAGTTGTTTTTTTCACACATTCACATCTTGATTACGTTTTCCTCTCAAGGTGGGGCTCACATTTTCTGGACCCATGTCTTTATTAGATTACTTCCTTGTTAAAAGTGAAGTGTTTGAGGAGTTTGATGCATAAGAGGTTAATTTTTTGAAGCTTTATATTTCTGAAAGATACTTTGCTTAGTATATTAAATTCTACATAGAATACTTGAGAATTAAAAGTTTTAAAAGTTCTATTAAAATTCAGAGTTTTGAGAGCATTGCCTCTAGGTCCTAAGCCTGCTGGATTCTGCAGGGTCATTCAACTCTCAGACCTGCCAGGGCAGGTGCCATTCTGGTTCCTTCCCAGATTTACATTTAGTCTTCCCAGTATTTCTATTTTCACTTAAATGGTTTTGTGATTTTTATTCCTATTCTGCCTTTTTACTGGTGTTCTGGAGAAAGAAAGTGTTAACCTGGAATATTGCACTTAATGTAGATTGGTTGCTTATGAAATAGGAAGGTACTTGCCAAAGGCAAGGATTACTAGGAACTTGATGTAAGAATGCTTGAGTTGTCTTGAAAGTAAAATGTGTGATAGACCATTTGATCATTGCTTGATTTCCTGCCCAATTTAATACGAGGATGAAGAATTAACTTTTGAAACAATCAACGTGACTCAAGTCTACAATGGCATTTGCTGAATTTCCCAGGAGTTGAATCTAGATACCCTGAGATAGTATTTGAAAGAAAAAGCAACAAGTTAAGCAGTTCATGGGAGAATATTTTCTTCTTGTGACTCAAAAACTTAATGGTTGGCTTTCAGGTACATAAGAAAGAAGATGCAATGGCTGTTTTGGTTCTCTAGAGGTCTAACTAGTCTAAAGCCAGTCTTGTCCTCACAGATGTAATAGTAGAATTCAGATTTTGATGTGATGTATGGATTTAAATTTCAATACTGCCACTTACGTGTCACTTGACAGTTAAGCTTCTTAGTCCTCATGTTTCTCATCTCTGGAGAGGCTAATATTTCAGAGAGTTATAAGTTTACAGGAGAGAGGAAAAACTGCCCCCAAATGAGGCAACTCCTCAAAAGATTGGTGATTTAGGACAGATCAGGTAGTTGGGAGATGTAAAACAAAACAGGACAAAATGAATATTCTCATTTTTCAGAGAAATTTATTTTTGAAATGCTTCTGATAAAACAGTTAATAGTTACACATTCTTCCTCCATGAATTGGTTCTTGATTATAAATGAGGCCTGAGAAAATGGTACTCCTTTTCCCCAAAAGTAGAATGAGATCTCTATGGAAAACAGATGTAAAACTTGTTGGAGCGTGTTTCCAAATGTTTCAAGAATGAATGATGTTCACTGAGTGGTAATGGGAAGCAGGACTATAAAGAACCGCACTTCTGTGTGCAGCCTAACCCAGTATCCTGCCGGGACAGTTTGTCCTGTGATCTGGATCCCAGGCTTGTATGGTAAGAGTTCTTATCACCATAGCATCTTTTATGCATACCAGAGGGAAGAAGCTCCTTGGCCTGTCTGTCAGGGACCCATACATGAAAAAGGCATTCCTGAGAATCACGGATGCACAGAAACCCACAAGGAAAGGATGATGTAGTACTGGCTCCTGTAGTGCGTTAAGGTTGTGGTCTTCCCACTCACAATCTCTTTGTATGTCTTGGAAGCTGAGGAGTCCCCAAACCTGCTGCTATTGTTTAGATCTTAAATGTCCCCAAAAAGCCAAGTGTTGAAAGCTTGATTGCCATCCTGGTGACACAATTGGCAGGTGGTGAAAGTTATGTCATTGGGGGTGTGCCCTTGAAGGGCATATTGGGATCCCTGTCTTCCTCTCTCCCTCTTTGTTTCCTGGCTCCAAGCAACAATGGACTGAAACCTCTGAAACTGTAGGCCAAAAACTTTCTTTAAGTGTTGGTATAGCTCCATTATTTTGTTAGTGATGGAAAACTGACAACATGTCTGCCATCATTCTACTTAAGATGTCACAACCATAGTCTCCCTGTTTACTGCAGTTCTACTTAGTTGTCAGAGTGGCAGTGCCTGTCTGCTGTGGGATATTTATATATGGGATCAGGCCATGGTAGAACTGCTGGAAATGTGGTGTCAGCTTACACAGTTGCCTCAGCCAAATAAGAACATTACCTCAGTCTAATAACCTCACCAGTGACCAGCTGAATCAGGGTCTGGTGGTTTTTTTATTGTTGCTTTTAAAGCATAGTTTCAGTAATATATTTAGCAAAGAACTTAGTCATGGGAAAAGTCAGTATTTGAAATCTTACATTGCTTGGCAAAATTAAAACTAAATACAGACCACCAGTTTTGTGCTGGGGTTTTTGGGCCAAATGGGAGCACTTGCTTGCTACGGGAAGGCAAAGAAAGGACTTCAGAATTTGTAGAAAGTTTGGCTTAGTTGTTGCTGTAATGAAGTTTTTTCCTGATAACTGAGCAGTCAAAGCTCACATTTTTGTAAGTAACTTGCATGCTATTACTTTACTGAGACTAAATTACAATTTTTGAGTCTGGGAAGTCTCTTTTGCATGTGTTCTGTGCTTTTGACTTCTTATAGAAATGATTTAAACTTGATTTTAAAAATTACTTCCTGACTGTGAAGAGTCATTGACTCTGAAATAGAATCAAAGAACCGATTACTATGACACCAAAAGACAGCTTTTTCGCTTTGAATTAAGGCTTATTGCAACCATTCTGATTTTGTGGCAGGCAATATCAGGATGAATCATTTTTGTCATTTGCTATAAACTTGCGAAGGGAAAGTCAACCACAAAGCAATTTTTCATAGAAAGCTATATTTGTCAGAATATTTATTTGTAGACAAAGAATTCTTAAATGACAAAAGATCAACCATCACCGGTGATCTGAAGCAGAGGAAGAAGAGCTTACGTGGTTCAGCTAAAGACATTGGACAGGGTCCTGCTAAACCAAAAGGATGCTGCTTTGGCCATCTTGATGAGCAAGCACATTTGCATTCTGGAGTAGGGAAGGAGGATCCAGTTAGCGTGAGTTGCTGGTAACACTCGGGTTTTGCCACCCTTGTTGGTTGTTCCCAGATGTCCTCATTTGGACATGCCAAAGATAGCAATCCCTGGGTGACAAACAGCTGTCAGCTCTTGTTTTCAAGTCACATGATTTTGTATCCCTTTACTATCAGAGTCTCTTCCAAGTATTTGCAGGTTTTTAGTGGCCACAAGTCTCACTTAACCCAGTTTTCTCTGTTGGTTCTTAATTCTTTGTTTGCATGTTGGAGTTCAGGTAAAAATCTATGGAAATAGCATCTTCTTACATAGTGACTTCAACAGGAAGGAGAAACTGCCTTTCAGAGTGCTTCATAGCTTTCTCTAGGTTGTTGTCTTAGACTTTCTTGGAATTATCTTTTGAGTAGGAGGCAAATCCAGTAACGTGGAGACTTTATTAGCTGTGTTTACTATGATGTCAGTCCTTTTCTGGTTGGCTGGACCTCTACCTTGTAAACACTGATTAAGCCTCCCTATGAGACTTAGGCAACAGTGGTTATATTCTTGAAGGGGAAGTGAGGGCTCAAGGATATTAAGTCAGATCCGAAAATGAACCATGCCATTAGTCACCAAGCCTAAAATAGAAGCTGTGTCCCCATGATGTGACATGTATAGCCTTTTTCCCTTAGTCAAATATTAGTTTTTGAGATAATAAAGCATAAAGAGATGACAAAATATAGAGCACTTCTGGAAGAATGGTTTAGAAACCCATGACCATGTATCAGTCAACACTTTGGGGCCTTAGTTTTATCTGTGAAGGGAGAAGATTTTATCCTGAAGGCCCTTTATTTGCTGCTGCTGTTATTATATTATCATGGACCATTTATTTGGAGGGTGTGTTAGTGCATGCCTGTAATCCCAGCAGTTGGGAGGCTGAGGCAGGAGGATTTAGAATTCAAGGCTACAATAGTGAAACCTTGTCTCAAAAAAAAAAAGTACATTTGGAATTTAGTGATATCAGTATCTAAACTGCTTCAGCTGTATCTTATCTAAACTATTCAAGGAATTGTGTGTTCTTCCTAGTTAAAATTTCAGGATAACTGAAACACACTTTGTAGTTTTAACTGAAAAAAAATTGAATTAGTCTATGATTATTTGAACTCACTATTTCTTACCTAGGATTCTGGGAGCACATTTTCTACAAACCAGTAGTTTGTAGGTATCATTGGGAAATTGCTAATTTTTAATATTTTATAGTATGTTTTAACATGTTTAGTAGGTAGCCAATACTTTTTTCAAATCTTCTACAGATATGTTACTGCCTCCCCCAATTTGAAACTTTAACACTATAGTTCTCTTCATTCTGTAGCTGGGTATTAAAAGGTAGCAGGTTATGTGTTGCCACCTATAGGCAGGACAATAGCTATTGCACTGACTACTGAAGTTCAAATAGACTTTGCATGAGGATTTTTACCGTCCATCTGACTTCTGCTAATGTGCTTATTATTAACTGTCTCAAATTCCTTTAAAATAGTGAGATTTAAATCCTAAATAAATACTTTAGGTGTTTCAATTTAACCTACATAAGTCACAGACTTTTAAACCTACCACTGGGCATTTGAATACTTACCCTAAGAAGTTTTCAGTCTAATGGAGAAGTCAAAAATGTAAGCAAAAAATGCAACAATACTAACAGATGCTGTGATAGGAGAATGTATAGGATCCAACAAGGGCACAAGGAAGACAGATCTGTTCTCTTTTCTTAGTGGAGATAATATTTACACTAAATCTTGAAAGAGAATCAGAGAGAGGTGTTGAAAAGAAAGGTGGCACAAGGTGAGAGCCAGTGAGCAATGAGCAAGAGCTGGTTCCAGCTCTGCTGCTATCTAAATGCATGATCTAGGGCCTTTACCTTGCTCAATGTCCTCATCTGTGGGAAGAATGCATCTGAATTGAAGCATGTCTAAAATGCTTTCCAGACCAAAAAGACGTATATCACCACTAGACTTTTTCATGAAAAGAGACAACCATGAAAGAGCAAGCTTTTTAAGTCATTGGAATTGTCTTCCTAGAGCCTTCTTTTTATATAATTAAATGGTACCAGCTCTCTGTTGCGCTAGAGACATCTTTCTACAGGCAGTTCTAATCTGTTCAGGTTTTTCAGTAAGTTGTGCTGTCATGAGAGAATATGTATTATCTTAAATGTAAACCTTAACTTGAAAAATATTTATTACATAAGTGACCTCAGTCTAATGGACCCAGCTCTAGGGTCTATCAGGAGTCTTTTCTACAGCATCTAAGGTTGCTATTTTTTTATGCTGTTCTGGGATTCAAACTCGGGGCTCATGATTGCTAGGCAGATGTTCTGCTACTTGAGTCACTCTGCCAGCCCTAAGTTTGCTAACATTTTGTCCTGGAAACTCACAGCCAGCATCTAATAATGAAAGTTTACATTTGAGAGTAACAGCCATGCTATCCTGAGGGAAAATATAAAATGATGATTTTTTTTGTATTAAAGGCTTATGCAATTAGAAGAGTTCATAGTAATATTTTCTTTGAGAATCTTTATGGTCACAGGCTGACTAGTTTTATATTTATAATAGTCTTTTTGCACAAAGGCGTTGAGGCCTTTATAAATAATGTAATAAAAGAGAAAAATTTAAAAATCAATTACAACATAAAAAACCCCAGATGCAGGGAAAATAAGGTGGAAATAAGAATTCTGAGGAGAAGGAGCATATTCAGGTTAGGCAGGGTACAAACAGCTGTACAATTCTTAAAGTTGGGCCACACATTCCATTGCTTTCTGGCAAGCAAAGCAGAAAGAATATTTACAAAGTTGTCCATCAAAGGAAATATTTTCTTCTGGATAAGCAAAGCTTTTCTAGACCCTTAGTTGAACACAGTGTTTGTGGTACTTCTTTATCTGCCTGTCCAGCTTCTGTCTCTGGCTCTTGTGGAGCTACACAGCCAAGCCTCTTGCTTTTAATGTCAGCGTTTCCTTCCAGGAGCAATGAACCATTCCTCCCAGGACACTGGCTCTCGTGGCATTCATGAAGATGGAAAGCTTTATGTTGTGGATTCCATAAACGACTTAAACAGACTAAACCCGTGTCCTGCCGGATCACAGCATCTGTTCCGTATGTGTGCCGGGATGGCTTGACTGCCCTTCCTGGCTACAGGCTTCTGTGGATGTGTGGGTGTGGTGGGGCCAGGGTGGGCACTAGCAATAGCCTGGCAATGAAAATGTTATTTATTGTCAGGCAATTTTTTTTTCTCCAGATATTCTACAGGATTATGGGCTTTCTTGGCTCCTAAGCAAGATTTGAACTCTTGTCTTCAAAAATCCTAGTTTCTGTCCCGGGGAAGGTGTGGAGCTGACAGAACTGGTCCCCAGGCTGTCACTGTGCCTTTTAGTAGTGCCCACTCTTCCCCAGAGGTCTTGTTTCATTGTGAATTACTGAGAAAACACATTCACCAGTCCGAAAAAATTCATTAAAATTCTATTAGGCAGAAAAGCCAACTTCATTCTCTATTTACAGAGTATAAATTGCTCAATTAAAGGGTGAGGAAAAGGAGGGAGCAAAACAAAAATCTGCTGAGTATTAAATGTGTCTCTTGTTCCCTAAGCATTATGAGTTAGAGCCTTCAGAGCGCCATTTTTTCTAGCTTAAACACGGGCATCTGACATAGGTGGTCACTGCTCCCTTGCCATTTGTCTCATGGGCATGCTAAATTTACTGTCCCAAGTTTGTATCTATCATTCCCTTTGTAAATGCTTTCTGAGCACTCACTTTTTTCATCATGTTAGTGGAACCAGATCATTATCTGTTTTTATTGTAATCAGTCTCCATGAAAGTAAGTGTTTGTGTGTCAGCCTGTGCTAAAGTTTTGATTAGGAAGCAAAAACTGTTGATGGGGGTGACATAGGATATACTTGTAAGGCACGGAACATAAATTGCCCATCTATCCATAATCAAGTAGCACAATGTATTGGACCAACTCAAAGTAGGAAAGTAATTTATTGATCTTCAGTATACCAGGTCTCTGTATTTCTTTTCCTCCCTCCCTCCCTTCTTCCCTCCTTCCTCTCTTCTTTCTCTCTCTTTCTTTCTTTCATCTCTCCCCTCTCCTCCTTCCCTCCCTCCCTCCTTCCCTCCTTCCCTCCTCCCTTCCTTCTTCCTTCCTTCCTTCCTTCCTTCCTTCCTTCCTTCCTTCCTTCCTTCTTCTTCCTCTCTTTCTTTCCTCTCCTTGCTTCCTTTTCTTTCTACAGAGTTTCATCTTGTAGCCCAGCCCTGCCTTGAACTCACAACCCTCCTACCTCAGGCTTCCAAGTGCTAGGATTTACAGGCATGTACCACCACATTGGCTCAGGTTTCTGTATTTCTTATTCAATTTAGTTTGAGTGTTGTTAGGCATCTAGGTCTTGCACAAGTGTGACTAGATGCAGACAGTTCAAGGTTTGGTTTACAAGCCATTGTATGTGTAGGTTTTGTTCTCAATTTAACTGCAAAACCTCGAGCAGAATCTTGCTTTCAGAGCATATTGATCCTGAGAACAGTTTTAAGACACCAAATATACCAGGGCCACTTTTGTTTAAATGGATGTAGTTATAATTGACTATTCCTATAAGAAAAGAAATTACCCAGGAGACACCTCAAAGTGCTCAGTCTACCACACCCAGCTCTGTTTGCTCTTGGGCTACTTTGGGAGAAGGGCAACAAGCCTCCAATCACTCCAAAACTTGCATTTCTTTATTTCCTCCCCAAAGAACAACAGTCTTCAAAGAACTTTCCAAATAGGTCCAAGGAGATAGCTTGAGCCAGCTCATTCTTTGAGTGCCACCACAGAAGTAAGGAAACAATGCCCAAATTACTCTGGTCCAAAGACATTCCTAGTCCATAAATCACTTTCCAGGGTGACGGGAAAATGGGCATATTCATCTCTCATCTCTCTAACAATGGGGCACTGTTAAGTTCTGTTTTACAAGTTGGATGCTGAAGAGTTTTGTCTTTCCTCTTAGCTCTAGAGGAGAAAATCCCAGCCCTTGGCACAAACTCAGGAAATGGAAGCCGGAGTCTGGTTTTTGTGGGGCTGCTAATCTTGCTGATTGTCAGTCTGGCACTGGTTTTCTTCGTGATCTTTCTAATAAGTAAGTACCATCGATAGGTCTTTCATGACTTGTGTGCATTTACTTCCTGGCTAGTTTTTTAATTGTCATTTAACTTTGCTTCTTGAATGAGTCAGTGCTTTCTGGCTATCAAAGCTTCCACAGAAAGAGAGGTGGCTTCTTTACCATTTGATGCTGTCCAGGCTGGCATCTGCTCCTGATGGAACCTGCCCTGTCTGCTCTTGGTGGGTCATGCATGTCATGCCCTTGAGTGGTACCACAAGCCTCCATAGCAGCAACTTGGTCTAGAGACTCCTGAGCTGTCAGTGTCACCCTCCTCTCTGCCTTGGATCGGGGAGGGGTGCTGTCCACTCGTGATGTTGTCTCCAACTCCTGTATATGCTTCTTCCCCCACTTTTCCCTTTCAACTAACGCATCTGTGAACTATCATCTGGAGTTATGTCTGTTTTCTCCCAGACCATGTAAGAATGCAAGGAGCCTGGGGTGGGTCGTCTTTGACACCCTTTTGCCTGGATATCCCACCCTGTCATTTCTTCTGTCTTTTCATGCTTATGGCTGTCTACTATTCTAAATAAGAAGAGGAGCCTGTGTCTTTGAAATGTCTCTAATTTAAGCTCCTCCAGGAACAGAGAGGTGATGGGGATGATGAGGGGAGGGGCACAAGATCCCTATATCACCTCTAATCTCTTTTCTTTCCCACAGACTCCTTTCTCCTTCCAGCTTGAAAGTCTTTACCTTTGGGGGCTGGGCTGGCGGGAAGGGTGATGTTTAATTGCTTTTCTCTTGCCCAAATGATGCCTTTTGCACTTAGAAGCTAACATGTGAATATCCTTACAATAAATGTGAACCTTTAAGGCCAGAAGAGCATATGGGTTACTATTCTGAAATGTTACCCCATTTAAATCAGCTCTCTGCCTGCCATACCTACCTGGGAACAATGGCCCAGTTAAACTAATTTTAGGTATGTCTATGAACATGTGAGCAATCCAAAGTGGTATTATTGGCAAGATTAAGGGAAATGATAAGCATAAATGGTATATATATGATAAGAATAAATGGTATATTGTTTGCTTAGTCCCAAGTACTGTGCTAAGAACTTGATGTTTCTTTGCTCAAAACCTGCTATAGCTATGCAGTGTAGGATCTGTTATTATTCTGGGTTCACCAATGATGAAACCAAAGTTTAATATGTCTAAGGTCACATAGCTAATAAGTACCAGACTCAAAAGCCTGGCTTCAAACACCATGCACTTTATCAACAGTATTCTACTCTTCTTATTTAACCAGGATTATTTGCATGTGCCTCAGTATTTTATATTGAGGACAAAATCATATTAACTAAGAAGCAGATAATGTGACTAAATGTCTTTTGCTGGGTGAGATGGCTTGTGGCTATGTAATCCCAGATACTTGGGAGATAGAGATTGGTAGGATCACAGTTCAAAGCCAGCTTTGGCAAAAAGTTAGCAAGAGCCCATCTCAAAAAACAAGTGGAGTGTGGTAGCACATGCCTGTTTTCCCAGCTATTGAGGAGGCAAAGGTAGGAGGATCATGGCCAAAGGACAACCTTGGGCAAAAGTGACTCTATCTGAAAAAAAATAACGAAAGCAAAAAGGGCTGGGAGTGTGGCTCAAGTGGTATAGAGCCTCCTGAGAAAGCATGAGGCCCTAAGTACAAACCCCAGTAGTGCAAAAAAAAAAAGAACAATTTTCTCTAATATTTTAACTTTACTCATAAAAGACTAAGGAGAGTTTACTTCTCTATATCAACCTGGCTTATCAGAAGTAGACCTGGGATTCCAGCACTGGCTTAGAGCTCTCGTGTACTCTACAGCCTGTGTTGTGGTTTTCACATAACCCTAATCCAGCCTAAGACCTGAGTTGGCACAAGCATTGGCAATGAGCTTGACCTGCATTCATCTTTGATAGGAACCATTTTGTTCTCATGGTATTCAGTGAAAATGTATATTCATTTAACTGAAGTGCCTAGCCTTCTTTCTAACTCTGCAAGTTTTACACATGAGAAATAAGATTACAGTGATTATATTGTCATTAAGATATTGGGCCTTACGGTTTTGTAATAGTCTTTGTGTTAAAAAGGAATAATGAACAGCAAAAATAGATGACTCTGGATGCTGGTCTGACCCTGGTAGCAGTTTTGAGTGGCCAAGTAATGCATTCCACTGAGCACACTGGTTCCATAGGAAGTTAAAGAAAAAAAGGGGCTCTGTGTTCAAATGAGTTTGGAAACTGTTGGCCTAGGTAGAGTTTGTTTTTTTGGTGATACTAGGGTTTGAACTCAGGGCCTCATTCTTGCTAGGCAAGTGTTCTACCATTTGAGACACTCTGCCCACCCAACCTTTTGTGTTGGATATTTTCAAGATAGGATCTCTTGAACTATTTGCCTGGGCTGGCCTTGAACCTTGATCCTCCTGAGCTCTACATTCTGAGTAGCTAGGATTATAGCGTGAGTCACTGGTGCCTGGCTCAAGGTGTTTCTTTACTTCTTGTGACTCCCCAAGGAGCAAGCAGGTATATAATTTTTTTGTACATTGAATCCTTTCTCTTTTTGTGGAATTTATTTTGGGACCAGTGAACCATGAAACAGATTTAGGCCAACATGGTTGCAACTTCCTTCTGGGTTTGACCAGTTTGTAGAGTTTTAAGAGGAGAAATGACTTCATATGTCATGGATTTACTTCGGTATCACAATTTTTCTGAGAAGCAGGTGGTATCTCTGCCTGGCTTAGCAGCAAAATTCAGTTAATATCCTGCTGATATGTGTTGAACCACATTTCATCCAAAGTAATGTTTCAGTCAGAAGGGAGAAGTAAGTGCTGGGAATCAAACTGTCTCAATGCTGGGAGGCAAACTTCTAATACAAGTTTACTGTTTAATGCTTGTTTATGAACTGCTCCCAGTAGTATGTTATCAACACCATCAGCTACTGAAAGATACCTTTGAAAAAACTTGCCTGAAATGGAACGATAAGGAGCTCAAACATAAAATACGATTTTGTGCTGCATTTATTGGGAGTCTTAACCCTGATATTCAGACTTCAGTGGAAAATAATGTGTTCTATTTTTAGGAGTCTGAGGGGAATCATTACACATTTATTATAGGCTAGTAATTCAGAACCAGCAGACATGTCCAAATAGGTTAGAACACAATGAACATCCTTTCCTAAATGATGAGAAAGGGCCTGGAAATGAGACAATGTAACAACCACTTCTGGGGAAATAATCAGACACACTGGCAGCTGTCTTTGGTTGCTCATAGCAATATCCTTCTCAGCTAGAATCTGTGTGGAATTGCCAAAGATGGTCTAAGCTGGCACCAAGAGGTGGTAAACATAATTGATTTGACAGGCAACTTCACCAGTGTCTCTCCTGGGCCTCTGGGAGGCATAGGTACTGGAACAGGGGCTTTTCCAAAGGTGTCTCAGCACCCAGCTAAGCTCTCACACAGGGCTTGGATGGCCCCAGTGAAACATACTGGAAACCAGTATAACACTGTCTGTTTTCCATTTTGAAGTTCAAACTGGAAAAAAGATGGATGATGTGTCAAGAAGACTGGCAGCAGAGGGAAAGGATATAGATGATCTTAAAAAAATCAACAACATGATCGTGAAGCGACTCAACCAACTGGATTCTGAACAGAACTAAAGGAAATACTTTCTAAGAGCAGCTGCTAACAGCTGAGGCTTCTTGCTTCCTGGAAGCACACGGATGAAGACTGAGAAAGTGCACAAGAAGTGCACACATGCAACAGATGTCCAGATCAACGACACCAGCTGGGTCAGGGGTGTGAGCAGCTCCAAGGCAAGTGGGTTTGAGGAAGCAGCTGGAAAGGAGCATACTTGACTCAGCCTATTTTCTTATAGGGTACTTCAGCTTTATAGGGGTTAGGGTGGGTGGCTAGTATGGAGGAGAATGAACAAATCAAGAGAATTTGGCTCTTATAAAGCAACTTGGTCAAGAACAAGTTCACTGTACCAATGAGTGCTATGATGTCTCAAGCACCTGCACAAAATTCTGTGCAAGCCTAAGGAATCCATGAACTATATGTGTGGAAGGGAATCAGGGGATCACTTTCAATAAAATATATTCTTCTGCTCAGGTGATTAGACTTTGCCTCTGTTTCCCCAGGGTCAATGTTGGGTGGGCTTCAGAACAAGTTGCTGTATAGAGATTGCTGGGGAGGACATGCGTAGTGGTTATGTGTGTAAGAATCAGCTTAGGTCAGGTCTTTTCTTCAAAGAATTTAATAAGTAATAACCATTTTACTAACTTACTTCCCATATGCTCGCTTCATGGACTCAGTTTAGTATGATGAAAGTTTCTATTTAGAACAAAGGGTGTTTCCTTCAGCTGAGCCAGGGCGAGAATTCCACTAGATTTCCTGGTTCAGAAACTCATAACCAAAATCAGTTATTGCTTCTCTGAACTTTCAAACTTCTTTTTTCCCAAAGCCTCCTCCCAACCTAGCCCCTTTCTAATAAGCCAACTGTGTAGACTGTGAGTCCAAAACCTACCCAATCCAGGGGCAGGAGAGGTACAGCATGGCATCAAATAACCCCCTTGGACTTCCCGCCTGGTGTGCTTGCCTTCCCGACTTCCTGGTGTGGTGCACCCTTCTGCAGAAGTAAATTTTGCCTTGCCTATTGACTTCTGAGTAGTGTCATCTCTCTCGTGATACCCGAATATCTTAAAGATATTTCTAACATGTGGATGGTAGGCTGGGAGGCACCAGAGAAGGCCTAGCTAATTCATTCTAGTGGTGTGTCGTCCTGCTGTGCAACTTATCCTACTCTAGAGGGGTCACATGCATGTGTGGAATACGGGAGATATGTAGTTGTATATCGTTACACAAGCCTCATCAACTTTGTTTCTCATGCTTATTAATTTGAAAGACTCTGACAGATTCACAGCCTTTGCTGTACAACAGAAAATCATGTACTTGGAATATTTGGGACTTGCTTTGCTTCAGCACAAAGAGCAAGGCACATACCATATGATATAAGCTAAGACGTGAAATAAATAAGTTTAAAAAGCATATAAGTCTTAGATACTCTTTTATTTAATAAAAATATATTGTACAAGTTAATTGAAGAATGTATTGGAATTCTGTCATTCTGGGTTGTTCAAAAACATTTGAGTTTACCTGAAAATGAATAAGAGTACACAAACACACATTTTGTAACACTAAATAGTTAATGAAATAAACACAAGACATTTTACTTGTCTATTAATATATTCAAAACATTCTTACTAAAATTCTTTCTTAAAATTGATCAGTATTATGAGAACATTTTCAAAATCTGAAATTTGTGCTTACTGGAAAATTCTTATCTACCTGTTGATAAGATGTGGCAACAGGATTTGTTATAAACTGTTTTAGAAACAGCTGAGGACCTGATGCAACAACTCTTAAAAAATACCCAACTCTTACCCGACTCTTTTGTTTGCTCTTATGCCTTTTTCCCTTTCTACTTCTACTTATCTTATGCTCAGTAATAAATGATCATTATTCCAAAAAAGTTACAATTTTTACAACATGGAGAACTGAAAAACTCATTTTGTCCTTCCTTTTGGATTTGCATTGTTCCACCTGTATTGCACAGACCACGGCCTGGTGACCCCTCTCGCCCTCACAGCCTGCTATTTGAATTCACAAATCAACAATTTCCAATGAGCACCTTTAAACGTGCTAGCCGGCTATGTGCAGCCTTACAGCATTCAAGTACAGGGGGAAGAAGGTGGGTTTGAGAATTCAACCTCCTGATTCAAATCTTCATGCTGCCACTTACTATGACTTTGGGGAAATTAGCTTCTATGATTTGTATAATGAGTAAAATTTGTTTAATGAATAAAAAAAATTTCATGATATTACTCTAAGTATTATTTAAAGGAGGTGATAAATGTTTCACCCCAAACAAAGTAAGTATTCAATAAATGCTAGCTATTATAGTCATTGTCGTTAAAAGTAGTAAATGTGACATAAACAGCTGTACTTACACCTCTACTGTGAGGACTTAGGGCCAATTTTGTTTTCTGTTATGCTGCTTAGTGATGTCATCTGACCAAGGATGGAAGGACGAGAGTATTCTAGTAAATAACTCACTGTGTTACAGGAACAAATCAATGTAAACAGGAGAGTTTTCCTGTTCCTAATGGTGTGGTGTGAAGAATGCCAGGATCCACAGTTGCCTCTCTGAGATGAGCGAGGAGCCTGTCTCCTCCATTCTTTGGAGTTTGTACGCATTCATAAGATGCCAGAGAGGTATTTTTTCCTGATAATGGACTTCATCTGCATGCTCCTCTTGATGTTGCCAGCCATGATGAGAGAATTACACAAATCTTCTGACACTGTGTCCATGGACATGCACTTTCTCTTCTATCATAGGACCTGGAAGGGTCCTAAATTATTCTGCCAAGGGCAACTACCTGTAGTGAGCCTGGCCCAGCCCTGCCCACCTCACTCTGCTGTTACACCTGGAGGTCATTGGGGTGTGGAGCTACCTGTAGCTAGGAGGCCCCAGCTTCCAAGTGTAGCCTGAGCTGCAGCTTCAGAGGTACAGGGTACTTATTGCTCAGCAATAGACCTGGGTGACCTGGCCAGGACTGTCAGTGGACACCAATCTCCAAAGCAAGTCTCTTGGGCCAGAGCAAAGCAAACCAGGAGGCTTCAGAACACAAAGAGTTGCTTTGTTCTTCTCACAGCAGCTGGTGGGTTTGGACTAACTGCTGAGGTGGCTTGGAATAGATTGCACAAACTATCGTTTTCTAACCAAATTTTGCTGCTTAGAAAGAAAATTTTAGTCAAAACAAATTCTCCTTGAGTGAAGGTATATAAAATAATATTATCCCAGCTTCAAATAATGACCCCAATCATATTCATTAGAGAAGGGTGCGACAAAAGAAATAGATTATCAGAAAAGACTGGTCAACTATCCCCTCTGAGGATGAGTTTGCCCAAAAGAAGCTGTGAAAGAGAGAAAGAGCTGTGGTACTGTGAGCTATCTTTCCACAGGAAGGTGTGTGTGTGTGTATATACTTTTTTTAAAGAAAAAAAAAGAGCGAGCTAGGTATATAGCTCAGGGGTGAAGTACTTGCCTGGCATGTACAAGGCCTTGGCCTGAACACTGCAAAAAAAAAAAAAAAAGGGGAAAATGTTCTTACTGGAACCTGTGTAATCACTTATTCTTGCTTGGTAAAAGATAAAGCCTTCTTACTAATTTTTTTTCTTAGGGAAAACAGTAAAATGCAGTTCTCCTTTTTATAAGGATGAGAATGATTGTAAAGAAAGCAATGGATAAATAATTCTGAACAACCATAATTCAACTTAACAAATGGGCATTAAGCCTGGGAGCTGTGCCAGGCAGTGAGTGCTGTGTTACCTGCCCTGGCTGGACCTTACAGAGGATGCAGGAGGAAGTAAGGAGGGTCCAGCTACAAAGGGCCTCCTGGTGATGCCAAGAAGACAAGTCTAGAATACCAGTAGTGGCCTGTAACCACAATCTGGAGGCAGCAATTTCTCAACCATCCCTTGGAGGGCCACCTGGGAAGCTTCACAAAACCTGGATTCCTGGCCTCTCCCTTCCGAGACCGACTCAGAGGGCCAGGCTGGGATTGGGAATTCACATTTTAAAAAGTTGCTGGGAAGATTCATGTGTTCAGTTTGGTCAGGTGACTAAACAGAATGGATCTGGAGTAAACTGGGTGTGGATTCTGGTTCTGTGCATGCGACCTTGGGCATGTTCCTTAACTTCTGACTCTCTGGATTTTCCTGTATGACATGGGAGTGGGTTGCTGCTGGTGAGAGTAGGGGAGTTGACAGAACTCCCCTAAAAAGTCACTAAAAAATTAAACATTTACATTGTATATTAAAGACAAGGGCTGTTTGTAGACATTATTTTTACTTCCTAAACAATACTACTATTCTCTTGTAAAGAACCCATAAATGTCTTCAGAAGAACACACTGCGTCCTCCTTCACCCATCTTTTCTCTTCATTTCTATCCCATCCTCTTCCCATGTCCAACCTCCTCAACTGCACTTGGCTTAAGCCAAGTTCAAGGTTCTAGTCACCCTTTCTGAAGGTCTATCAGGGCTTTCTACCCACAGAAGTGTGAGCCAGCATTTGTGGCTCTGACAGGGAGGAACTGAGGAGAGGCTGAGAAAGCAGTGCTGCTTGGGGGCCTTGCTCAGGTGGGGGACTGAGTATTAGGGTCTCTCCACCTGGGCCCCCACACCTGTATTTAAGAATCCATCCTGTCTTGAATGTCTTGATGAAGACAGTTTATAGGCCCTTTGACAGAAGAGAATGTTCCCTGGAGTTGAGAGAATGGATCAGGGCCAGATATCCCTCTTCTATATGACAAGTTTGATTTAGAAACAACTCAGAGTTAGTGGGATTTAAAAGTCTAATCAGCCAATATCAAAGTATTAATCTGTTAACGGAGATCAATGACAGTCATGTACTATGAACTGAGACAAACGACTTCAACCTCAGCAGCGACTCAGTTATCATGCAGTGCTGGGAAGCTCAAGAGCCTGTCTTCCTACATTTAGTTCAGGTTCCTGAAAGAGTCACCTTGGACGAAATTTGTGTTACCTCCAAATTTCCTTTACCATGGATGATAAATCAGATTGTACCTGTAGTAAATCACACAATTGCTCATAAAGAAATTTAAGGAAGTTTTTATTTTGTCTCATGTCCCTGGTTTTCCTACACAGTTGGTATTACCATAAAATACTCAGGAATTTTTTGTACACACTTCCTTTTTGGTCAGCAATGAGGGGAGGAGGATATGAAGGTGACTAAGGGCAGAGAAAGTGGCCATGGCATGAAATATGGAGCCCACCTGCAAAACTGTGGTGCTTGACATCTTCCCAAATGGAGGAAGACATGAAATATTTCATGGTAGATGAAAGACGAATGGGTTGTGAGAAACACAGAACTGATCGGTGGGGAAGAAAGTCATGATTCTAATTTTTCTTTATTTCTTGAGCACCTTTGACTATCACTTCCTCTTTTAAAATTTGAAACATAATTCACTATTCATGCATGAATCCTCAAGGAAATGGAATATAGCAAGCTTATTCCATCAAGAATATTCTTTCTAAATGTGAGTGCCACTGTTACAGAGCACAGACTTTTGATGAACAAAAGAAGCAAACAAAAAATGAAAAACCAGCTAGAAGGTTAATTATGGCTTCTCAGAGTTTCTTATAGACTCAGAAAAATAGTGATGGAAATGACTTTAGGGCTACTTTGATGTACAATGTAGGTCCCTTTTAAAAACCTTCACTGAGTTGGGCACAGTGGCTCACACCTATAATCCCAGCTACTTAGGAGGCACAGATCAGGAGGATTGCAGTTGGAAGCCAGCCCAGACAAAAAGTTAGCAAGACCCCTTCTCAACCAATAAGCTGGGCAGGGTGGTGTGCCTGAAGATTGTGGTGCAGGCTGACCTGTGTAAAACATGAGACTCTATCCGAAATATTACTAAAGCAAAAAGGGCTGGAGGCATGGCTCAAGTGACAGAGCACCTGCCTGGCAAGCACAGGTGCTGTGTCTTAACACCAGTACACCACACCAAAACAAAACAAAACAAAATAACCAAAAAAGAAAGAAAAACAAGAAACCTCATTGCTGTCTGTAGTCACAAGCATCAGGAGGTAGAAGCAGGAGGAACAAAATTGCAAGACCAGCCTGGGCTACATGGTTACCCCTCCCAAAACCCACCTTTGTTGAGTACCAGGTTCTTACCACAGTACTTATAAAATTCACAAAGGACTTGTCATATCTGTTTTCTTCAGCAACTTGATGCAGTCCAGTCTTTTTTTGAGCCTAGAACTTCATTTGAGCCTCTTAGATTCTGTCTTATAACTTAACTGGGTACTTGTGTTGTAACCTTTGTATAATTTCCTCATCTGGGCATCCCTGGAGTGTAGTACATTGCTCAATAACACGAACTTGTTTAATTGAATGAAGACTGCATTGGTTTTGATTTGAAATTAGAG